AAAAAAAAATAAATAAATAAATAAATAAAAATAAAAATAGCGAGCTGCCGCCTTTTACGCAAAGGAATCCCCTTTTGTTGAGTGCACAAGATAGAAGCTTTTGAATATGAATCTGCTGTTGGGAGTTGTAACGCAGCACCGACAACCTGATAGGCCAAAAAAGTTATAAAACACATGCTCTAATAACAACATTGAGTTAATTTCACCACATTATGTGATGATTGTTCTTGTCGTGGACTCATATATGAGAGGTGTGGGTTTATGTGATTGGAGATTGGAGGAAGAAAAAAATGATGAATCTAGAATAAAAGTAGAGGACTGAGGAAATCACTTATTAGTGTTGAGGTTTTTATTAGGAATGGATGGTTGGCCGTTTCTCCAGTTCAGCCTGATTGTTCACTGCTGATGTAGCATTCCTCTTTACTTCAAACCCAATTTCTCAATAATCACCCTCCTAACTGAATTGCTCATAACTTTGCTCTAGACAGAGTTGTTATTAGTTCCGCCTTCAAGTGATAACTTCCATGTGGATGTATAGGAATTAATATGATATGCATTGAACTCCGTTCCAGTTCAGGCTTTATCTTATACTGGATTCTTTCCAGGTATGGGTTCTGAAAAGTATTATCCATATTTGACCCAAGTTTAGCAAGGGTTTTAAATTTCTGTTCGTAAAATAAAAGTGTCCAATATTGCCTAGGTAGCGGGTTGCTATGGGTTGGATCGGGTGAAAACCCATCCAATTTGCACTTCTTTTATATCACATAGAAAGATCATGATTCAAACCCAATTTCTCAACAATCACTCTCCTTACTGAATAATACACAGCCTAGTAGATTATATGATATGAGGAGATTCCCTTTTTGTGTAAGAGGAGGATTTGCTCTTCCCTCACCCAACCAAATAAATGAATAAGTAACTATTAATTAAAGAATTCACCACATTTTTATATCACATTGATCTGATACGATTCACAGTAACCGACTTAATAATCTCACATAAAGCTAAAACTAAAACTTTTATGTTGCATCATGCGAGCACATGTAGTGTACAACTATTAACTCGAATGTCATCTCTACATGTACCAATTATATTGATGGTGAACTACTATTAATCATATGACCCTAATATTTTTGGTGTTGTTATAGATGTTGAAAAAGGGCAGGAGGGCGGTATCCTAGATATTGATGGTAAGAGAGAGAAGAAAAAATCAAAGAAACGCTCAGCGCCAGCTTTAGATTCACAAGAAGAGACATGCATTAATGCTGGTAAGTGAACGTATTATGATATCTCTCAGTCTGCTTGTACACCAAGTTAGAATCAAATCCTTCCTTACACTTACAGCTAATTATTTATGTGCTTGGCTGTCTGTAGGATGTAAGTCTACAGTTCACAGCGAAGCATACCCTTTTGCTTTACTCTATCTAGTGGTTGGTGACTGCCATATTTAACACTTCCAAATTTTATGTTGAGAAAGTTTCTTCCGAGTTTTTTAATTTCATTTTCAGCGCTTTCAGAATCTCAAGAGTAGAATTATGTTTATGTTTAAACTATGCCAAAGTTTTATAAATGCATAGATATGAAGGGCATGTTTGGCAACTCTTCTACTTACCAGGTTATTGGAAGTTGGAACCAAACTGGTTAAGGACTAAATTTAAGGACTAAATTCTGTTTGGAAATAACTAAGCCAGAATTGAACCAACTTTATTTTTGTTCAAAATTTGGTCCTTAAACCAGTTCAGTTGGGGAAAAACTGGGGAGGTGGTCCCATTAACAAGGCACTAGTTTAGTGTTAAAGGATTGGGATTGATTACGTGAAGTCGCAAGTTCAGGTTCTTTAACTAGGAGAAGAAAAGGAGATTTCTTATGTCATGTGCAGGATAAATGCTAGAACCTTCTTTGTTCTTGAATTATGACTAGTAACATTTGGAGAGTTAAACCAGATGAAGGGGGTAGCCAAACTGATGCCATGTTTCTTTTCCTTTTCGATTGCATAGTGTGTGCCAACGTGCATTCTAACCTAGCTGTCCATGGGGACACTGGGGGAACTAGTAGTCCATGGAGAACTTGTGGTTTATATTGTATCATTCTGATTTTAGCTTCCCTCCTTAAAAGGTGTCAGCTCTGAAGCATGAAGAAAGTTGAAAAGCTAAAAAAATGCAAGGAGTGTTTTATGTTTCAAAGTGAACCTGACTGCAGCTTTATTTAAATGGATGCCATATACAGAGACAAGGGAATTATGAGCTGAGGATAATAGAAACCCTAACCCTATTAGGAGATCTCTTGGGCTTATATAGGCCCTACACAACTTACACATAACCCCTTACAAATATTACTAATGTCAACACTCCTCCTCAAGATGGGCGAAAGATATCCACTAAGCCCATCTTGTCACATCCTCTAATCATGTCTAATGAGCTAAGTCCTTTAGTCAGACAATCTGCTGCCTGGTCCTTAGTTGAAACATGACTTAGCTCTAGTAGTCCACTATCCAACTTCTCTTTGATGAAGAACCTATCGATCTCGATGTGTTTGGTTCTATCATGCTGCACTGGGTTGTTGGCGATACTGATAGCTGACTTGTTGTCACACCATAACTTTATCTTAGCTCCTTGATCCAGCTTCAGCTCAACCAGCATACTCTTCAACCATAACAACTCAGCAACTCCTAAGGCCATAGCTCTATACTCTGCCTCAGCTGTTGATCTCGCCACCACCGATTGCTTCTTGCTCTTCCACGAGACTAAGTTGCCTCCTACAAAGATGCAGTATCCCGAGGTGGACCTCCTGTCATTAGCACAACTAGCCCAATCAGAGTCACAATAACCCTCGATGCTCACATGTCCATTTTTCCTGAATATCAGTCCCTTTCCAGGGGCACTCTTCAGATATCTCAGAATCTGGTACACAGCGTCCATATGACCCTTCCTTGGATCATGCATGTAGCGGCTCACCACGCTCACTGCAAAAGAGATATCGGGACGTGTGTGACTCAGATAGATCAACCTCCCTACCAGCCTTTGGTATCTGTCACGATCAACTGGTTCTCCAGCCTCAGCACCCAGCTTGAACTTCTGGTCGATCGGTGTAGTTGCAGGTTTACACCCTAACATCCCCGTCTCTTTAAGAAGATCCAGTGCATACTTTCTCTGGGATAAGACAATCCCCTCCGCTCCGCGAGCTATTTCTATTCCAAGAAAGTATCGAAGCAAGCCAAGATCTTTCACCTCGAAGTCCTTACTCAGTCTCACTTTGAGTTGGGCAATCTCCTTCTCATCATCCCCTGTAATAATCATATCATCCACATATACCGCGTGATGTAACCTTCATTTCGTCGGAAGAACACGGTATGATCAGCGTTAATCTGCCGGTATCCCATACCTATCATAGCCCGCCTAAATCTGTCGAACCAAGCACGAGGAGATTGTTTCAGGCCATATAGAGACTTCTTCAATCTGCAGACCTTGCCCACTGTCTGTTCTGTGTTGAATCCTGGCGGAATTTCCATGTATACCTCTTCCACCAGATCTCCATGAAGAAATGCATTCTTCACATCTAATTGGTGTAGCTTCCATCCACCATTTACTGCCAGAGAGATCAAGGTTCGAACAGTGCTCATCTTCGCTACTGGTGCAAAAGTCTCATCATAGTCGATGCCGTATGTCTGACTATATCCTTTTGCCACCAGACGAGCTTTGTAGCGCTCAACCTGTCCATCTGGATTCTGCTTCACAGTGAAGACCCACTTGCATCCAACTGCTCTCTTTCCTTTTGGTAGTTTTACTAACTCCCAAGTGCGGTTCTTCTCAAGGGCCCTTAGCTCTTCGTGCATAGCAGCTTTCCATTTCTGGTCCTTCTTTGCAACCTGCCAATTGTTAGGAATAGTAACAGAGTCCAGAGATGCAATGAATGCTCCATGTGCAGGGTGGATGTTAGAATATGATACAAACTGGGCAAGATCCCAACCATATCTATCGGGAGGATTTCCCGCATTACTGCGAGTAGTCCTCCGTACAGTTATTGGTGTGGGAGGAATAGGAAGAGAAATGGAGTCACCTTGAGAGGAATCTTGTGGTGGTGTAGGTGTCTCAGGAGTCGGGGCAGGCGTTGGCAAGGGACTTGGCACCAGTGGCACTGTAGGTACTGTTGGTACTGTTCCCGCAATTTGTTTCCCCTTCCTACTATAGGTAAGTAGTTCTCCCTGAGCCGTTGGCCTAACACCTCTTGTCTCAATCTCCTCGTCGTCTTCATTCACTTGCTCCTCCTCAACCAAGTCTCCTTCCCAAGGAATCGTTACAGAAATTGATTTTTCCGATCTCTCACCATTCTCAGACATTGATTTCTCCACATTCTCCTCCTCTCGCCGCATACTTCCAGTATTAGGCGAGTTATCAACGGATGAAGTTACCTTCCGGGTGTAATATGGCTCGAGTTCTCGAAAGTGCACATCCATACTCACAAACAACCTTTTCTCCACCGGGCTCCAGCAAACATAGCCCTTCTGAGTAGCAGAATATCCCACAAAAATACATTTCACCGCTCTAGGGGCAAGCTTCCCGACTGATGGCCTGTTGTCTTTCACAAAGCACACACAGCCAAACACCTTGAGTGGAAGAAGCCCACCATTATCTCCCTTCAACAACTCACACGGAGACTTCCAATCCAGCACTCTCGAGGGCATTCTGTTGATTAGTGCTGCCGCGGTCAACACTGCTTGTCCCCATAATGTTTCTGGGACATTCATAGAGATCATCATACTTCTAGCAACCTCTAAAAGATGTCTATTCTTTCTTTCCGCTACTCCATTTTGAGCAGGTGTGTATGGACACGTAGTCTGGTGTTGTATTCCCTGAGCTGACAAGTATTCCCCAAACGTTTTGTTAGTATACTCTGTCCCATTATCAGATCTTAATACCTTCACCACAGCGCCGTATGGAATCCGGAAGGAGGTGGTGGGTTTGGCGGCTAGGAATTTTTGTGCTCTGATACCATGAGGATAATAGAAACCCTAACCCTATTAGGAGATCTCTTGGGCTTATATAGGCCCTACACAACTTACACATAACCCCTTACAAATATTACTAATGTCAACATGAGCAAGATAGTGCCTCGTTGTAGATCCTTTAACATCACAGGTAGGAAGGCATACCTCCAACATGTGGGCAGTTTAAGATCAAGCAGGTGTGGGCAATTTAAGATCAAGCAGGCATGGTGCAATATCCAAATTCCCAGAGACCTGGGAAGAATTGAGATTAAAAGGTTGGAAGATGAGATGTGATAGGTGGATAGTGTTGACCTAACAGACAATTCGATCATGTTTTCATGTGGCTCATACTGTGTGGCAAAAAATTTTGTTAGCTGTGACATCAGCGTTATGCCAATTTCTAACACTTTGCAAATAGATATAATACCTGATAATCTTATTTCGATAGACCATATATTAAGATACCTTGTGCCAACAATCATAAAATTATGTAGCACTAAAACCTAGTCAGCATTATATATTAAGATCTTTACGCTGGAAACCATTTGTAGCCACTGGCATTAGCTCAGTGTTAAAGGATTGGGATTGATTATGCAAAGTCACAAGTTTAAGTTCTTTGACTAGGAGAAGAAAAGGAGACACCTTATGTCATGTGCAGGATAAATGCTAGAACCTTCTTAGTTCTTCAATCATGACATGTAACAATTTGGGAGTTAAAATATAGAAGTTGGGATCCTAATCTTTTAAACTCATTTTGGTGATGCAAGTGTTAAAAATTCTACTTGTTATAAGTGGGAATCAAATATATCAGGGCACACACACAATGTGATGAATATTAAGTGGGCTTTTGTTCTGAAGTGTGATCCATTTTACTATGTTAGAATCATGTCGGTCAAATAACATGATGGTTGTGGGTTTACTGCTACAAAACCTGATCTGTTACAATACAAATATTGAACACTGAATCTTCACACTTGTGAATGATTTCTCCATTTCTCTTCTAGGAGCTGGTGACTGTCATCAGATGAATTGTAAAATATTTAAGAAAATGCGAATCAACTCAGCTCAGTTACTTGGTGTTTTATTAGTAGAGAACTGTACTATAGGCAACATTGCTTTCACATTTCATTGTCCAGGGAAACTATGATCTCTGTTTTCAGCTGCCACTGTACTTCATTTGTGCATTTACTTTCTGGTATGTCTTTTTCATTATTAACCTGCTCATTGGTTGTGACACATCCCTAGGTGTGACCCATAAAGTGGATGATGAATATGACGTGAATGAGCCAACTATGGCAGAGAAGCTTGCGAGTTTGGATTTGGTCAATGAGGACAAATCCAATGTTGACAAGCTTGAGCCATCTCCCATCCCAAGACCCCTGATTCAGTTCATCTTTTACTGAAGCAAGCTTTGCATGCTGACGACCACGCTTTGCTATTGGATTGTTTGCACTCGAGGGATGAAAAGGTTTCCCTTCTTTTTCTTTTTTTTTTTTTCTTTTTTTTTGTGGCCTTCAACAAGCAAGTTACCTTTTTTTATAATCACTCATGTACATACAAAGGAGATTGTTTTTCTATTTATTGGAAGTAGTGGTCTGGTCTCAACAGCTGGAATAGACTGCACAAATGTTGCTAGGCTGACGGTGATGAAGTTGACTACCTGTGATTTGAGGTGCTGTATATAAAAAATTTATCAGCGCGTATGCTTCTAATATTATGCCGCGTTTGATACCACAAGGACCTTTGCACTTCCCTTCTTGTCCACATGCTTCTAATAAAATTTGTGGTGCCATGCAGGTTATTGCAAAGTCAACATCACTTTTAAGTCCAGTAGATGTTCTCAAGCTTTTAAAATCACTTACATCCATGGTGCAGCAAAGGTAATCAACCAATGGAACTCAGATTACAAGTAATATTTTCGTATTTCGGTGAGCTGTGTTTTCTTGTAATGTATTTTTTGAAACCATTCTATATTATCAATAACAAGTTAACAACTGATAGTAAATTTTACTACAGGCCAACAACTTAACATCAACAGTAATACATTACTTGTGTTTTCGTTATGCAACTAAAGGTAACCCTAGGTCAAAGGTCGGTCGTTTTCAATTACCTCCAGATATCTGGGTAAATTATGCCTTCCACAGTCTGAGTCTCCGGTCGCACTTCTGTCAACTCCTTAACATTTTATACAACCTTTTAACATGGTTTGAATGAAACTTCTCTTTGAATATAATATTCACCTAGCGATACTTCTAGCACCTTTATCCAATTTGGCCTCGCTTATATCCTTATATAGAACTTGGACTCATGTATTCGCTATGAATTATCAGGTTCTGAGTAAAACTATATTTAATAGGGTCACAAACCAACTTCTAGTAATCAGATTAACCTATCTCGTGATGTTAATACTGGTAAGTGTTATAAGGATTATGCATAATAAGTGACTTTTTATGAATTCACATGCAGATTCAGTTAATTAACATGGATGTAAATATAAGAAAGAATAGATGTGTTTGTAAAATAAAAAATGAAACAGCCATTCAAGGGAAGATATCTGTAGTCCGCCTCGATCAATATGTTAATACTTATTAGAGTCCTCTGAGCCTCAGCTGTAGACAACATGTGAGGCTTCCATGTCTACTTAATAATATAAAAAGTACTTGATTATAGTATATCAGCACAATGTATTTTTTTTGTGCTGATAATTCTGATGTTTCAAATAACTTGAAAATCATTTTTTCTAATTGTCTATTCTATTTTTTTCCCTGTAGAGGTGCCGTGTTGATCTGTGCACTTCCTTGGCTTAGAAGCTTGCTTTGTCAACAAGCAAGCGGTATAGCATCACAAGAATCGTCCTTACATATTCCCAATTCCTTATACCAGGTTAGCGTTTCATTGTATTGGTCAAATCCTGTACTTCCTCTTTACGTATTATAATACGAGATACTCCAGATCTGTCGTCTTTAAATGTACATCTGAAAAATGTTGGCTTCCAGCCGAGTACATGATATGCATAGATGAAAGATCTCCATAGATATAAACTAATTTGGGTATGCCAAGCACTAATGAACTGCTAGGAGCATTTTAACCACTATACCATGGTAATTAACAGATAACATCAACTTTTTGGATTTTCTGATTGCCGTTTCTGAAACTGCAAAGTGATGAAAGAATTAGAGCAATATTACTATACACTTAAATATCATAACCAATGCTGCTACAATACAGGGACAAGATTGCAAAGCAAACTGATTGTTGGTGATGAGTGCTCTTGTACCATAGAGATTTTTGATGGATGGCTCTCTTAGCCTTCACCTGCCTCTATTCAACTTGCATTTACATCCATTTTCTAATAGATTGTAGTCAACTTGAAATTATATTATAAATAGTCTTGCATATTCATGTTATACATAAAATATTAACTCCTTACTATATGCAACTTTTTGGTAGATGATATATGCACTTTTATCCCCGACAAATACGTTCATGGTGTACCCGTATCCTGATTTTGTTTAACATTTTTCATATCATATCATATTCATATTAGCTACTAGCACAAACAAGCGGTTTATTGATTTATGCCTTGTCTTGTTATTTTATAGTTCTTTTATTGCCATAGCCTCGCATCTTATGTCCAACCAGAGGCTTATGATTCTCTCTTTCTTTTGCCTTTGTGGGATTCAAAGTTTCAAATATTCATGGCTGGAAGTATAAGCAGAAAAACACAGGAGTACTTTTGCTGGTTTTTGGCTAACCCGTTTTGTGGATCATGGTCTTCTACATACTTGAATGATGGCATTAAGTTCTATAATAGTTGCAGCTGATCGAAGCAAGGGTTTCAACCTTTCGATCTGCTCTCCAGCTCTCCACATCTCTTGATGTCCTATGCGCCAGGGTGAGTCTTTTCTTTTCCCCTGTATTATACTCCACCTTTAGACATCTTCTGCTAAGCAAATACTTTTTTGTTATGTAGATGCCTGAGGTTGAGACTGAGGAAGACAGCACTATCCCCTTAATAATATATGAGGACAAGGACAGTAGTGATGAAGAAGAAGAAAATGAAGACGCAATGGAAACTGATGAAGATGATGGTGAAGATATGGGAGCTATTATTGACTCTCATGATTCTGATGTGTGAGTGGATGCTACCCACGTGGGCACGTGGGCCTGAGCTTAGCTTCGTGGGCCTGTGCTTGCGGGTGGTAGGTAGTCGCGGTAAAGTGACGCAGCTGGTTTGGCCTGGTTTGGCCGATGGTGATCTCTCTAGTGATGATCATGGTGTTCTTCTGGTGTTCGTCCAAAATTTGAGGTTTATCAAATGATGTACGAGGTGGAGAATTGTGAGTGGATGCTACCCACGTGGGCACGTGGGCCTGAGCTTAGCTTCGTGGGCCTGTCTTTGCGGGTGGGTACAGCATGTTCGTTTCTTATAAATACACACATCATCTAGGGTTCCGTGTTGTGGGTGAAATTTGAGTCGGCTGCAGCAGGGGGAAAACTCTTTAGTCGGCCAGAGAAAAAATTCTGAGAGGAGTTACTCGGCTTGGGGGAAAAAAGCTGCGGAAATCAAAGTCGGCTTTAGAGAGAAAAAGAGAGATCTTGAGGAGAGTGAAAATAGGGTTTTAGCATAAAAGAGAGTTTATTTCTTTTGGGTAAAAATTAGATCTTTTTCTTTGAGATGAGCTTGTGGATTGTACAAGTCGTCGGTGTTCTCCTTATAGTGGAATCTCCCCTCACCCCTCCCGTGGACGTAGGCAATCTTGCCGAACCACGTAAATCTCGTGTATTTACTGTTTTTCGGTGGGTTGTTGGCTATTGCTTGTAGGATCCCTCAAAATTCGGTCTTAGAGCTGATGAGAGGAAGAGTGTATATTTCACTTTGATGAAATATATCACTTTCAATTCTTGTTTCCTTTGAGAAATAAGAATTTCATTATCTATTCGCGTTTCCTTTGAGAAACAAGAATACAGAGGTTGACTTGTGCTTTTGGGACAACAAAAGCCAGGACTTTCTCTCAGGTGATATCGCTTCCGCGGCGGTGGGCGTGACTCTGCGCCCAACATGATGGAAGTGAGGTCATGAGCAATTGATTGATAATTGGTATCGTGGAATTGTGTTGAACTTGTAAAAGTATAAGTTGCGAGGAAAATTTTGAGTAACTTGTGCACTTTGCATGTCTGCTACTTTCTGGATTTGTATCGGATACGAGATGAGAAAAATTTTGCTGTTGTTTGCTATCATTCTTTTTTATCTATTTTCTTTCCAAGTATCATGTGTTATTAGCAGGCACAATATAATATCAATACCAAACCGATATTCACCTCCTAAAACTCTGGAAACGGAACACGTTATGCATAATCTGCTACTCCCGTCCCATTTCCAAACACAGGCATTTACTGATATTTATTTATATAACCCTATCAAAAATTACTTCATTCAATGATTACCGGTTGAAGTTTAAAATTTGAAGAACAATTAAATCAAGGCTCAGAAGAATTTCTTTTCAAGCCATATACCATCACTTGGTAGCCAGTACCAGTAGTCAGTGCTTCGCTAGAGCAAATACTTTGCCAAATATGGAAACCCATTCACGATGTTGCAGAAATGTAGCATTATT